GGAAAACAGCAAACACTTCTCTCTTTCTCTCTTGACTCTTAAATTTCAGTATGATTTTTAGAGTCCCACCAGCTACCTTATGTCCATGAATTGACCTGCCAGAGGAACACAGACGCCAACAATACTGAGTATGATGGAAGTAGAAGGACTTGGGGTTTTGATGATATCATGGAGCCACCACTTCCTGATTGGGCATCATAAATGGCCTTATATTTTAAGCCAGTGATACATGAGGTTTTTGCTATTTGTTTTTAATGTGTCCTTACTGACATAGTCCTCCACCATAATCATAGAAACTTTGTCTGATCCAATGCCAGGGCCCCTGGGATAAGAAAAACATTGGGCAGTTAGGAGGCACTGAAAAAACATTTTTTTTCTGTATTTCAAAGTTTATTTCCAGTTATTTACCATGGCTTTGTGATGATGACTTTTAAATAATCACACTTTTTGAAAGACAGTTCTTTTTATAGAGGAGTATTCAATGCATGGATGAATGAAAGTACCTGTTTGCACCCCTGCCATACAACTTGTCTTTGCTCCTCTGCCTCAGTCTTCTTCCACTTACATAAGCTCTCCTTTGTTTCAGTCTGGCTTTCTGCTCTTTCCTCTCCTTTTTAACCTCTTCTGGCCCCAGCTCCCTAGCTTGGCTCCACTCTGCTCACCACATCCTCCTGGCTCACTACAGCATGAATTTAGGCCCAGCCAAAATGTCTGGCTACCCTGTCATTCCAGAAACTTACCTTTGTCCTTTAGTTCCTATCTGTGCCTTCAAAGATACAATGACGTTCTCCTGAATGTACCACTTCCCCTGATTGTATTTTTTGCTTTTTTGATGGCACAGATCAAGTTCTACCTTGCAGAGTCTTCAGAAGTAAACATTTCTCTCTTCCCTACAGTGTGAAAATTTCTCTCTTCCCTACAGTATTATAAACACCTTTAAAAACTGAATCCATGCCCTCAATTTCAGAATATTACAGAGTACCTAAGTTTTGGTTACATAATTTGCTTTTGTAAAGATTGAGTCAGAGTTGTAAGGGTGCCCTTCACTCAGAATATGTGTGATTTACCCATTTCTTCCTCCCCCTTCCCATGTCCCTTATTCCCATTGAGTTGTACTCTCATATGTGCAACTAGTTGATCAACTGGTTCCAATTTAGTATTGAGTGCATGTGGTGCTTGTTTTTCCATTCTTGCAATACTTCACTATGAAGAATGGTCTCCAGCTCCATTCAGGTTGTTACAAAAGATACTAGATCACCATTTTTAATGGCTGAGTAATACTCCATGGTATATATTGCCATTTTTTATTAAAAAATCATTTTTAACCATTTTATTAAACCATTTTTTACCACTCATGCATTGGTGGACCTGGGTTCTTGTCATATCTTTGCGAATGTGAATTGTGCCACTGTACACAATCAAGTGCAAGTATCTTTTTTTTTAAATAAAATATCCTTTTTTCCTTTGGGTAAACAACTAGTAGTGGGATTGCTAGGTCAAACAGTAGGCCTACTTTTAGTTCTTAAGTATCTTCATACTATTCTCCATAGAGGTTGTACTAGTTTGCAGTCACAACAATAGTGTATGAGAGTTCCTTTTTCTCCACATCTGTTGTTTGGGACTTTTTGATAAGAGCCATTCTTGTTGGAGTTACCTGATATCTCATTATGTCCTACTTTTATTTGTTTCCCCACAAGAGCATTACTATGTTGGCATTGATCAGGAAATTTTTGTTGAACGGGGGCAGCATAGCATAGTAGTTAGGTCATGGCCTTTGAAGACAGGAAAGCCAGAGTTTCTATCTGCCATTTGTTTCTTGTGTCAACCACAGGCAAATAACTTAACTTCTCAGAGCCTCAGTTTCTCCGTTTATAAAATTAAGACAATAATAGGTTCTACTTTATGGACTTGTGTATCTCTCTGAAAGAGACAATGCATATAAATTTGGCCCAGAGACCAGCAGAGTGTAAACACCCATTAAGTAATTGTTATCATTATTAGCAAGTATTTTTGAATGAGTGAATACTATCATATTCATAATGACAAGAAAGATTAGCATTCTCACAGATAATTGTAAACTGTGCCTGGGAGGCTATGTGGATGTGTCAGGATTACACACCATAGATTTTCTTATATACCCATATAAAAATTTTCTATTTTCAAAATGTTATAGCACAGGCTATCATAGACTGACAATGACTTTAAAACCAGATATTTGTTTGGGAAAGTAACTAGGAGGAAGTGGAGGCTGTATTTCCATTTGTATGTTAATGATGTTATAGTTTGCTTACATTTGGAAAATGTAGTATTCAGGTCTGGACTCCCAGTTGCCAACCTCAAAGGGTACAGTTCATAGAATCACCAGGAAAGCTGGAACTCCAGGCTCATAAAATTACGGTGAACACGGATGCAGCCAAAGAGACCAGACTGCTAAGGATGGAGGGCTCTGTGTCTCCAGGGCACCCACCATCACATTGCTGGGCTCTGTTGCTCTTGACAAACTGGCAGCTGCAGCCTCTAGACTCTGATTTCCAGTGGGATCACAGAGAAAATAACTTCTGGATGTCAGTATGCCTTGACCACTCCTCCCAGATGGCTCATTTGGTGAACCTAACTTGATCACCTTTGGCTCCTCCAGCTGCCAGAGGAAGAGAGAGGAAACACCTTCTCCTTTAGGTTCAACAACAAGGAAACAGGTCGTATTTCCCATGTGCTTTGAGACTATGCATTCCCCCAGGGTGTTTGGATGCTAGGTGACTCCTATAAATGGCCACTAGGGCTACCAAGAAAGAGAGATGCAACCTGAAAACAAGACCAGAAATAAAAGGCTCAGAGGTGATCCCTTCAAGGATTTTCCATCCAGCTGATAGAACGTTTTTCTGCAAATTCTTCCCACCCCCCGTGCATATGAAATAACAACAGGGGTCTTTTCATCCCTTTTGTATGGATGGAAAGTTAAAGGCCCTTCTTTCTCATCAACTTTAATGATGGCCAGTAAAGAAACTATACGTGGCACAGTGACCTTTCTAAAAACCATGGTGATGTGATGAAAAGAGTTGCTGTTGCCAGATACCTATTGACAGGCTTAGAAACAGCTCTCTGGATCCCAGTGGGCGGAGGCAAAACTTCCCTCTTGAATGGGGCAGCAGATGGTATTCTTCGCCACCCCTGACAGAATAACGGTTGGAGGAAGCAGTGGGGCTCCATCTGGGAGAAAGCCTGTCTTCTGCAGCCAAGCAGTCAATGTGTTTGCAATCTTTACACTTTCTGGAAAATTCCGCCCAGGAAGAACCGCACCTTTTCATGTTGCTTCACAGCAGATAGGGTGACCCTGACAACCCGAAGGCGAAAGATGGCAGGGTGGAGTGGAGAACATATGTTGAGAAAGCCACAGATTATTTCTTAGGAGAAATGAAAAGGTGGATAGATTGTAAGCTCTGATAGTTGAAAATGTTCATGGCCAAAGAGTTCATTCTCCCTCCCAATCTGACCCACAAAATTGAGCCAGAAAATGTATTCCTTACTATTTCCACCGCTCTTACTCAGCTACAAGTCATTTCCCTTTTCAGATTATTTCCAGTTTTAAGGCCCAATTTCCATTTGCATTTTGATCTTCTACTTTTAAGACATTTAGCCAATATTATCATCAACCAAGTGCCAGATTTTCCTTTGAGGCTTTGAACTTGTCATTTGTCCTTTATCTTTGCAGGTGGATTCTGTTTGTGACTGGCTGGTCCAAGGTAGACGGGTTTATTTCCCAGGTAGAACAAAAGAAAAGAGGCTTTTAAATAAAGAGTGGTGGTAAACCTAAAAATTATAAGATGTTTCTTGTAAACATCAGTGACTGGAGTAAGGATCTGTGAAAAAATAATAATGTGATTGCCAATTTATTAATGAATAATAAATGGTTTGATACAGCAGGAGAAGACAGTTTCAGCATGAATGATTATAAGAAGCTCCCAAGAAAGTTTTATGAAGTTCTATGATATATTTACTTTCCGTGTTATTGTTTCTTTAAAAAAAATCCTCAGTTTAATTCTTCACCAGTATTAAAATAAATTATGCTGGGGCTGAGTCTACCTAGTGTGAAGAACTCATAAATGATTCTTTGTATTTTCAACCAAAATTGCTGACAGCTTTCTGTCTTAATTTTCAGCTTTTTAAGGAAAGGAATTATGAAATATTTCCCTTTGTAATCCCACAGTTCATAACAGCGTTATTCAGCTGCAGGTACTTAACGTCACTTTTCTACTAGCTGTGGTGTGGTGAGTTGGCCTTAACCTGTTAGTCCACATTCTCATTGTTTCTCAATCAGATTTAAAGTTTTATCCTAAATTATGCAGATGAAGGTGCTTCTTAAAGTGCTATTGTAAATATAATCATGTATATACGGCTAAAAATCGTGTAATGGATGAACAAGTCCGGGGAAGAAAAAGAACTCTCACCACCCACACACATCGTGATAAAATAGGGCAGCGTTTTGCACTTGCTTCAACAGCATCGCCTGAGAAAGATTTCTGATTCTCATCTTTCTCCTCTTAGCATTTCAACTTCATCCCAGTCAGCTGCCGAATCTTTCAACAGACTGCCGCTCTGTCTTTGTATTTCCAAAACTAAGCGTCTCTATTGCAGACTGCACATCTTTATGGCAGCCAAATGCTTGCAAAAGAATTAAATTCAGAATATTCATTTGGCCTCTTATGAGAAAGAGAGAGAGAGAGAGAAACTTCCTTCGCCCTTGTTGTACGCTGTTCCCATCGTAAGATGCTCCGTGGAGGGGAGTCGAGCGGTGGGCAGCGGCTGAGTCCCCGAAAACCAGCGCCTCACATTTCCGTGGCATTTCCATTTGCTAGTGCGCTGCTGCTGCCGCACGCCTGATTGATATATGACTGCAATGGCACTTTTCCATTTGACATTCTCTCTCTCTCTCTCTCTCTCTCTCTCTCTCTCTCTCTCTCCCCCTCTCTCTCTCTCCCTCTCTCTCTCTCCCTGTGTCGCTTAAACAACAGTCCTAACTTTTGTGTGTTGCAAATATAAAAGGCAAGCCATGTGACAGAGGGACAGAAGAACAAAAGCATTTGGAAGTAACAGGACCTCTTTCTAGCTCTCAGAAAAGTCTGAGAAGAAAGGAGCCCTGCGTTTCCCCCAAGGTAAGCAGGAAAACAAGCGCTGCCGGCTTGCCTAGGAAATCGCTTCTTTCCAAACCGAGCGTTTCATCCTCCTCTCAGACAAAGAGACACCTTTGAATACCACTTAAATTTGCATTACTTTAATTTGCATTAATCTGTAGCATGCTAGCATTGTGTTTTTTAAATGAACGGGTCTTTGAAGTCTGTGACAGAGCAGGGAGCCTCTCAGAGAAGCTCGAAAATATCTTTTGGTTTGACTTAAAGAGATTTTCTTTTCCAACTCTCTGCGTAGTTAGATGTAACTTTGTGAGGGTTCTTATAGTTGACCCTGTGAAAGGGGGCTGAGAAGCAGCAACTCGCCAACATGGATTCGTGCAGCCCAGTATCTTCCCCACCACCCTCATCCCACTCACAATGGGGGTACTATTAACATAGGCAAGCCTGCGAGTTTGAAAACGCACTGTTTACTTTTATTACTACTTATGTATGCTGCTGATCTCCTGCCAGGGCTCTGCCGGAGTGCTCAGAATGACTTCAAACAATAGGCAACATTTATTTCTAGCTTTCTGTGTCATGCTTTGTAGGAATCTTGCACTCTCCTTTGCACTCTCTCCCAATGCACAGGACTTTGCTTCCATAGCTGCTTTCGGGAGCATGGGGCAGAGATGAGGATGGTTTTACTGTATGATTTTGATTGGGCAAAAAGTCCTAGGAAATGCATGCTGTTTGCCTTGGACTTACTGAAGGGGGTTATTTTTAGTGTCAGCTCGTCCTTGCAGCATGATGTCCAAGGAATAACCAGAGAAAGGATGCTCCCACCAGCACAGGGAACAGGACCTGTAGGAATGGCTCCTGCAGATACCTGAGGAATATTCAGAAGGTTCTTTCAAACTCCTGAATACAAGTGCTCTCTTTAAATGAACAATTGAGCTGTAGGAGGCCTGGGCATAACTCTTTCTTGGGGGACGGGAAGTTTGATTGTGTACAGAATGTTAATGACTCAGAACGCCCAGTAACTGAGGCTCATTGTAAAGGACAAGCCTAGATAAGCCTCTGTGAATGAGGCAAACTCCTCTCTACAGAGATTCAGGTGTGGGAAGGGAAGCTATTTGGCAAGATAGGAGTCCCATGTACAGTTCTTTGTAATTGTCATTAATAACAGATATGGCTGCTGCAAAGAATTCCTCTTTTTATTTTTAATATTAGGCTATTTTAATTACAAGGAGCTGGCATCAGCAAATTGCTGTAACCCAGAACGTTAAATATCAGGTGCATTTGAAAGCATAGAGATGCCTAAAATGTAGTGCTCGCTGTGGGTGTCAACCAAAGGCAGTAGGGACTGCATAATGCTTCTTTACTGAGCAGAGCTTTTAGACCATGCAAATATCTATTCATTTTCTTACCACTCTTGTTTCTGCAAGTAAACTTTAGGGTCCTATTGACCAGTTTTCATTGCCAAGCAAGACATCATCTGTGGGGGAACGTTTCTGGTTTTTACTGATAACTAGCCTTACAAGCATTGTTGAATGAAAATCTGACTTTTGAATGAGTTAATATAGTCACTATTTAAGAAATCCTGTAAAAGATACAGTGGATTTTATTGCTATAGAATTTTACTGTGATTTTTTTAAAACCATTGCTGATAGCAAAGCATTTAGCTGAATCAAAACAATTTTCTTAAACTATTGTTCAGATCATTACATGAGAGTGTTTGAACACAAAATGCAATGTTTTGCATCATTTCTTTCAAAATACATTTGGTTCAGGTAAATAGGAGAACTGGCTGAGGCCTTCTTGTGACTGTGTACCAAGCAGCTGACACTCACAGATGGAAATGTGCCTGTGGAGTTTTCAATCTTAATTTGAGTTCCAATGACACTGTCAAGGGAAAAATAAATCATTTTTCAATACATTTAACAATTTCCAACTCATTTATTTTCCTGGGCTCTTAAAAAATGTGATGAGTTTCTTGGAATGATAGACACCCAAGGTGGCCGGCAATTTTTACTCTTATTTTAAGAACTCACAGTTCAAGTACTATTATTCTTAGTTGGTTAATTATTTATTTTATAATTGTTGTTAATAAATATTTATTAAGCATTTTCTATGTTCCTGATGCTGTGCTAGTCCTGATGATGCTGTGCTAGTCCAGGTGAATGAGACATTGTCCCACACCCTAAGTCCATATGCTGTCTTCAGGACTGAAATGGAGTTTGCCATTGGGTAGACTGTACAAGAACTTTCTTTTGCCATAAAAAACCATTTAAAATAGCCACTGGTTTCCAGATTTACTTGAAATGTTTCTCACTCATCAATGAGTTTTCTTTCCATTTATGATTAAGGGGTTTCGTTTTTCACCAGATCCTGGGCACATGTCACTTATACAGCTATCATAGCCTGGATCTTTCCAGCCTGGGTAGAAGATGCCTGGAAAAAGAGCAGTTGATCCTTTCTCTGCTCACTGGAGCACCCTTTGGAAAGGACCACATGCTGTTTTTATGGGGGGGGGCTGGACATGAGTCACCTACTCAGCAGCTGATATCAGGGACACTAGATGAATCATTGAATTAGAAATGCGCACAGAGAAAGATGCAGTTAGTATCTCCCACCATTTACTTGTTCCACCCCCAGGAATAAAACTAATGACCTCTGGGCCTGGCCTATATTCAAGAGGCCGCTGGGAAGAAGCTGCTGGAAACTGTTCCCCAAACCCAAGTCTCTGTCAGAACCACACACAGTGTTGCTTTCAAGTAACTCAGTATTGTGTTTTATCATGCGGTAAGGTTACTGGGAAAAAACCCTGAAGACAGCATCAGCAGGGTCCTTGACTTGGTCCTTATCAGTAGATAATCCCCCATAGTGGGAATAAAATGCTTCTGACTCTCTGGGGTGCCTGACTCACCCTCGCCAGCTCTCAGCTTCTTGGCCGGAGGCCTTGAGCCCATCCTCACCTCTTCTCATGACAGTTGGTCAATGCTACTTTGTCTAGGCCCTCTTGGCTAGGCCAGCAGCCAGTGGGCACAAAGGGGATGGGGAGGCAGGTGGAAGGACTGAGAAGTGCTAATGCAGAGGGGGAAGCAGGCCGGTGGGAGGGTCTGGATTGTTGTGGCCTGCCCTGGCTGTGATCAGCTGTCATTTCCTCTTAGTGTATGACACTGTGGAACATATTAAAATTTCTCTGGGATGGTATGTTTGGAATTCCTCTGATGCCCCACCTCACCAACTTACCCGGACAATAAAAGCAAGGTTGTAAGCCTTTGAACAGCTGGCCGCTATATATTTCCCCTCTTTCTTTCGCATAATCTAATTCAGAAAAGAATCCAGCTAGACTGGCAGTGCCATGTCTGGGTACTTTCTTCCTGCAAGTCTTTCCTCCACCACCTCCTCTTGCCTGCCCTGGAATCTTCCTGGGTGGCATGTGGCTTTTCTTTTCTTTTCTCACCACTGCTCCCAGCCTTCCCTCTTTTCCCCTTTGCCTGAGCTCCTTCTGTTATGAGCTGGCTCTTTGCTCTGCCTGTTTTCCAGACAGCGTGGGTCCTGTTCCACTCAGAGAGAACAGCCCATGAGGTCTCCCATCTCCATAGTATTCCCAAGATGTCATTCTTGGCACCAGCTCTCCCAGGCTGGGCTGATAGGATTGGGGGGCTTTTTGTAGCCCCGAGCCTGAACCCACTCACAGAGAGGAGCAGCCACATGGCTCAGCTGCCCTTTAGGCTGCTGAGAGCAGAGCTGGAGTGACCGGGTTGGCAGGGACAAGCATACTATCACAGTGACCCGAACATCTCCAGCAAAGGCCCGGGGGTGGGAACACTAGGGGAACGCCTGGATGCACTTTGGCCTACATTAAGAGAAATGTGGTTATTCTCTGTTTTAGGGGGGAGACAAGTGACTTGAAACAAAGCCTCCTGGATCCTTGGGCCCTGCCCTGCCCCCTTTCTCATCTTTCTTCCCACATCTGTCCCTCCCCAAACAGAAAGAAGGAGAGATAGGACTTTTAATCTGACTACCAGAGGCCTGAATGGATGTCTTCATGAAACCTGCTTGGAGAAAAGGAGAGGGGAGAAATTGATCCTGGGTTGAGCCGCAATAAAAATGCATGAGATGCCAGAAAATAGGGAGGGATTTTTTTTTTTTTAATTCTTTCTCTTAACAGCAGAACAACAGTTTGGTTGAGGAGTTGCAAACGGAAGAAAAGTGAACCTCTCAGTTAGAGATTCCCATTTAAGAGCCTCATGTAAATCTCCCTGTGCAGCATCCTTACAAGATGCTGCTAATGTCCTTGGGACCAAAAGGTATTAAAGAGCAATCCACAAGGTGGCTTCCTATTCCTTCTCTTTTCCTGGGGGCTTTGGCTGACTTTTTTGAATTAGCTAAAGTCCATTCAACGATCCAAAAGGAAAAGATTTAACACAGCTGAATTAAAATGAGTATTTCCTATTAGCTTGACAGGAAGGAAAAAAGAAAGGAAGAAAACAAAAAAAAAAGAAAGAGAAGAGAGAACCAATTCCCCTTCACTGCTACTTCTTGGGTTTTAATATGAATTATTCCATACAAGTCCCTAGGCTAGAGGATCTATTTAAAGACGCCTGGCAGCATGAAGGGAGAGGGTAAAAATACAACCACTCTTTTGTCCATCAAAGGTTTTCTTTGGGCAGACATTAAGAGCATTCCTGTTTTCTTGTCTGCCCCTGCCAGTGGCAACATTCCAGCTGGTAGTACCCACTCCTAGCCCATCAGGTCAGCAACCATGAACTTCTATGTTTGATGTCAGGAGAAAACAGAGGATGGGGAATCCTTCCGAAACCCTTGTGTATGAGGGGGAGGGGGCAGAAGAATCTGGTACAGAAATGAGGGCTTGCTTGGCTGTGCAGGTTGCAAATTTACACACCCACACAGTTGAGTTTCTGAGGAAGATTGTGCCGATAGCATTATTTCTGATGCCAGCTTCCCCTGCATCTGCAAACTGCAAAGCTCTTTCCTCGTATCTCTGGCAGTCATTTGCTTGGCATTATTTATGCTTG